TTGGCTTTAGTGAATTAATTATGCAAGTAGTTCATCTCATTATCATCAGACTGTTGCTTCTTATTTTCAAAAGTCAAGTTTAATTGATTTGTGAAATAAATAAATAATGTGTCTTGAAAATTATGAAAACTTAAAATTAATAAAAATAGGTTATGATAAAACACAAAATTATTTCATACTTAATGTGCATTTAAAAGTGGTTCCTTTATAAAAAAAAAAAAATTCTGAGATACCAAGGTTTAAGCATTATTAAGCATCTATCTTATTAGTAGTGATCAAAGGTGAAAAGGGTAAAAATGATTTATTTTATTCTAGCCACATAAAGTAGTCAGAGGCAGCATTGAGGTAATGACTTCAAATATAGAAACTGTTACTATCAAAAGTGCACAAATCTGAGTGGTAATTTATCTCAAAGAGGCTAGCATGATCTGCCCTATTGAAACAAAGACAACACACAAAAAAACAGCTCCGAGTCCTAAGTTTTTAAAAAACTAGTGAGAGAAATTCCTCTACAAAACTTCAAATGAATATATGTTGCGATATATTATGGTTCCCAAAAATTGTAAGCACAATAATTTAGTTATTTCTTCATTTAAAAAAGTGTCCTTGTCTAGCAGCAACATGTATAACTTTATAATATGTCTGATCCTTCATAAATCATCATTTTAAAATTTTGAGTCAGTTAACTGTTAAATGTGTAATGGTGGTATGCAATTCAAATTTGATTTGGTCAGATATGTAAAAATAATAATAAATGTTGGGAGCATCAGATCTAAATAACATGCAAATTACTTATTGATAATCGATATTAAAAAAAAAAAGCTATTTTTTAAATTTATTGGTGAAGGGAAAATAAATTGATTAAAAAAGCCAGCATATTTTTTTTCAAACATTTATTATTTTTCCATACTTCATCATATAAGGACAAAGATTAAATAAAAATTTTGTACAATTAGGAAAAATTCCTTATGTCAGATACTGACACTCACTACAATTTTGTTTTAAATGTTAAAGCAGCTAGAGATAATTATCATTTACTTAACAAAATGCAGCTTAATAAAATATTTTCAATGAAAATACACAAGACATTCTCAAATATTTTTTTTTTACAACCAACATCTTGCACAATGTTCTGGATTTAGTGTCATGGTGTTGGTTTGATGTCTTTTGGTCAGATAGTAATATTCATTATTGTGTCTGACAGCAGATTGAATAGAAGATCCACATCTTGTCAATAAATAACACCTGTATTATACCATTTTTCAGATTCATAAAGATTTATTTTTCAAATTCTGAAGACCTTTCGTGGTACATAATAAAGAAATTAAAAATGAGACACTGGTATCTGTCATATTTTACTATGTAGGATTTTTTAAATATTTGTACATCAAATCAATATTTCAGATTTTCTTAACTTCTTTTGGTTAGCAGAGAATGTCATCCTGCAAAAAGCAACTATTAATTGTTCAGAAATTTCTTTTCAACTCAACATAATGGGAACTCTTAGTATATTTAAATAATTATTTTTAACCAAATTAAATTTTAAAGTTTTCATATTAAAAAAAAAAATTTAAATGTGAAAAACGACTTGATCATAAAAAAACCAACTAATATCCATAAATCAACATGAAAATTGAATACCTACATACTTAATTTACAAAACATGGTCAGGTTGATAGTCTTGCTCTTTGAAACCAGAGAGGTATTAACCTCAGCTTCAATTTGAATATTAACAGTAACACAATTATGGGATTGGATCCGGTAAACATCATTTGGCCTTGGATTAATTTACCACATTATCATAATAATATTATAAGCCAGCACTGGTTTACTTACAAACAACACAAAGATTTTGTTTTTATCACAAACCCAATTTAACCCATGGGTCACATGCATTAATTATCAAGGACAAGTCTAAAACATGGTCTGGCCCCACATATGTGTGTTTGCCATCTTGGGGCCAGTAATTTTACTGACAGCAGAAATACAAAGAACTAAAACAGAGTAAAGTAAGTCAAACTCCTTCCTCAACAAATTATGCTTACTTTAATGAAAAGAATATTAGCATGCTTAATAAGCAGTAAAAAAAAATTATATAAATACTATTTGGATTGTTTAGTTGGGAAAATGTAATTTCTTAGTGGGTAAACATTGCTTTATTCTTGCGTCAATATATGGAATTACTGTTTTCTTGAAATTAATTGGATTTTTAAATTATCATATTTTCTGAAAGTGATGACAAAACATAAATTAAAAAAAGTTATGATTGTTTTTTTTAGGTAGATTAAGATATTTACTCAATTATAGTTTTCACCAGTCCATTGACAGAAAATAAGCTGCTACATAATCTTTATGGCTGTCTTGCACAAGGTGCTCAAAATATAATTAAATATTAACATAAAATGTGAATTTATGTTAATAAATCTTCAACATGACAGGCAGTTTGGCCATCGATCAAATAAGTTCCCTAGACCTCATTTGAACATACCCCACTCTGATGAAAATAAGGAATTCTTATGATGGTATTAATACATCTAATACAAAGTTAAAATATAAGTTTCTTTTCCTAACTCACAGTCCAAGAGACATTTATTAAAAAATAAACTTATGGCTGTAAATGATACAATACATTTAGCAGTTACATAAGAGAGGTGATTTCAACAGAGGAGATTTTGTGATTATGCTTAGTTCTATTTAATGGACTCCAAGTCAATCAAATGATAAAAATGTTCAAAACATCCGTCACTATAAACTACCAGTATTTGAATAGACAATATTTTTTTAAAACAGGATTTTTAACTGAACATTGAAAATGTAAGAGCAGGACAAATCATTCTCGAACTCTTACAGAATTCAGTTTAATTATTCAGAATAATAAAGAGAACACAAAATAGCCACATTTGAATATTAACAACCAAAAGGAACATTCCAATTTTAAAAGTTTGCATAACAATCAACTTCATTTTTTTTCATGTGTTAACATAAATTGAACAAAAACGTCATATCCACAAATATTATAATCTGTTGCAGTTGGGGTGGGATAAAGACCTTTTGGGAGCTTACAGCCTGAACATAAATTTACTATAGATAGTATTTATTATGTCAGTTCAGCCAAACCTAAATTGCAATGAACACTCAATAAGAATTAGGTAAAAAGAGTAATATTTTGTAGGAAAACTGTATTCATTGTGGGTTGTAACTTTAAGTTCTATGAGATTCTTTTGTGTGTAGTTAATTACAGTCCAATTAGTTTAAAATGACCCTTTTCATGAAAGTAGGTCTATGGATGCCCTAGAACTAAAAAATTAATCACCTCTTATCTTTGCTCTTCTCAGATATTTCTTGATAGCCACCTCTACTTATATAAAATTTTAAATATTGTAAAAACAGAGTAAGAGAATTTTTCACAAATTACCAAACTTTTGTATCTTAGAACAAGTCAACTAACTGAAGTTGGGATAATCCTCTAGTACATTTATGTCGCATGAATATTAAAATTTTAAAATTCCGATTGCAAGAGTAAAAAAATCAAATAGTTGAACTGATAAATTTAAATTTCAACAAAATAATTAAATATGTAACACATAGAAAGCCACATAAGCCTGTTTGTACAGACGTAATATGATTTGTCTATACTTTTCTCTCAGTGTCATGGGTGCATCTAGATGTTTTCTGTGGAGGGGGTGGGGGTATATTTTTTTAAATATCATTTTAACTCTCAAGGAGAGTGGGTGATTACATCCCCTTCGAATGGTCCACCAGTGGTACTTTCCACATTTATGAATAATATAAACACTTTAATACTTGAGGTAATAAAGGTTACAGCCACAAATTCATGCTGAATCTTTTTCTCAAAAGCTATCTTGGATCATTTAAGCAAATTTTTGTTCATTTTTTAAATTAGATTATTTTATATACTCAAACATACAAACACACGGCAATATCATTTTTGCAATTCATATGAATTCAAATGAGTATAAAAATGTCAAAGATTGAATTTTAAAACTTAAATCACAATTAAATCACACCAACAGCTCTTCACTTTTAAAGGCCGGTACATAAATTTTTACACAAAGTTAGACAGGGAAAAACACAGATTAACTCCAATTTTTTAAATTAATATTCTGTTTAAATTGCCACCTTATTTTAAAATCATTTAAGGCCCACATACTAACATCATTTAAAAAACTGTGATGAGCATTTACATCATAAATTACTTAATACCCACCCAACTGTGGCAGTGAGAAGTTTTTTTCTTTCATGGTTATATGATACATTTTTTCAAAGGCCTAAGTATTTGCATGAACAGTGTCATATTTCCCACTTTACTTTTTAATTTTTAAAAATATCTAATCTCTTCATATTTAAATTAAAATTTTAATTTGAATGTCAAATTATGTGCAATATTAAGAAGAGAAATATTTTTGGAAAAGAGGAGAGCTAAATGCATTATTTGTACCATTATTTAAACTTAAACATATTCAAAGAATAACGACACATTTCAAATTGACGACTGCTGAAAATCTGTTTCACTTTTATGCCCATGCTCAGCTTACAATCACATCAGCAAAACTTAAACCAACTTGTAATAAAATGTAATTGCAGTCTCAGGTAGGCTTTTTTTCCCCCAGCCATTTATAGAATAACCTTTTTTGAAAAGGCAATTTTTAGTTAACAAAAAGAAATAGAAGACATGATGCTAGCTGATTTTAATGAATGAACACACATTTTTTAAAGGTTTTATTTTCCAAAAAATATGCATTAATCTTGGCAGTTAAAAACAAAACAACCTGTAATAGTATTGAGAATTTAAAAAAAAAAAAAAAAAAAAAAAAAAAAAAAAAAAAAATTAAAAACAAAGAAAAATTTTACAAAAAAAAAATAAAAAAAAAAAAAAAAACCTTTAAAAATTTTGAAAATTAAAAAAAAAAAAAAAAAAAAAAAAAAAAGCTGCAACATTTGTAAACCAATGGAAGCTTTTACTAGAAATAAATTCACAACACTTTATGATTTTCAAAGTATAAGGGCATGGATTAGTATTTACAGCTGAACAAGAACTGACTCTGTAATAAGAACTGTGCTCACAATAATCGACTTCTGGACTGAAATAAATAGACAATACATTAAGGTCAATAATAATTAATTGTTCTGCTCTTTCATTTTGATTAGACATCCATTACATAGTACTATATACATCCACTATGCTGAATGTATTCATATTCATAATTTAAATAATGCAACAACCTAAAAATTGGCTGTAGTTCATTGCCCCAAAATATGACATGAAATTTTAATTTGCCACAGAAGAGTTGGCTGATACTAAGTAAACAGTTGCATTTTAGTATTTCCCACATACAAATGGATGTGATTTTAAACTAAAACTAAATTAAGTTTTATGTAGTATAAAAAATAAAAAACTTGTAATTTAATAACAGAAGTGAAGTTTGAATTGATCTAGTTTGTGACACAAAAATGAGCTCGTTACTATTTTTACTTCTGAAACAGCCATTAATCAGCCTCTGCCTGAAGCTCCTCTGGATCATACGAGGGAAGTTTGATTGTGCAGTAGCCAACACCTGTCAGGCTCCGAGGGAGAGCCCCAACAGTCTCCCAAATACCAGAAAACACGTCATACTTGCTAACTAGCTTCTGTCCTGTCTTGGTTTGCACATTATAACCCCCCAGAACATAGATATTGTCACGGTACACAACACAGGAGGCTTCCTTGTGAGAAATGGACAACGGTGCTACTATGGTCCACTGGTCAGTTGCTGGATCATAGCATTCTGATTGCATGACGGGCTGTGCCTGTTGGTTCACATTTAGATTGCAGCCACCAAAGACAAAGAGTTTGTCATGAGATGCACACATGACATGCCAACCACGGGGTGTAAGCATGGGTGCCATGTCTTCCCAAGCATTGGCTAGCGGATCGTAGCGCTGCATATCTGGGGTAAAATGATTACCTGAATATCCACCAGATATAAATATGTGATTTCCATAGGTGGCACCGGCATGTGCATGGTAAGACATAGGCATTGAAGAAATGAGTTCCCATGTATTTTCAGCTGGATCATAGCATTCTGCAGTGGCTAAACTTCCATCCTTAAATTTTCCACCAACAGAGTATATTTTATTGTTCAATGCTCCCGCAAAGAAGTATGCCCGCTTATTTAACATGGGGCACACCTGAAACCAAGTGTCAAATCGGGAATCATAACGAAGAACCGAGTTTACAGCAGATTCCCCATGTGCGCACTGAGTGGTGCATCCCCCTAGTACATAGAGAAAGTTATTATAAACCAGTACCTGCATATGGCTGAGTGCACTGGGTAAGGTTGCAATTTCTTGCCTGTTCAGTAAACTGCTGGAGGTTATTTTGGAGTCAAACACCAAAAGTTCATCATGAAGACATGGATTTGGGTGTATTTCTCTGCCACCCACACTTACCAACCTTTCCACATATGAGCGCAGCCGGGTAGAAGATGTGTTCAATAAAGGCTGTGAGTGGGGGACAACATGGTAGTTGAGAGCCGTGAGAACCATTTGCCGCAATTCTGGATTTGACATCATGAGGTCGACCCTCTGAACTTGGTGCACTAAATCAGCAGGGTTAATCAGGGGAAAGCGGATGAGTTTCATTAATGTTGGTGCATGGCCTACTCGTTTTGGATCCATTCTAAGCCATTCCCAGGTGATGTGAAATATATCCATCTCACGAAAGCAGAGCTTATCACTGTTTAAACAGCTGACCATCTGGTCATATGTCAGCAGGTTCAACGTATTCTCTTTGGCGATCTGCATTAAATTTCTGGCTATGAACACATCAATCTGTTTTAATGCATTTTGCATACTGTAGAGCTTAGCAGTGTTTATGAAGTCATAAAAGTTTGTCGTGTTCATGCCGCTGAGGAAGTTACGCTCACAGAACTCAATCACTGGTGTGACTTGCAAGTGGGTCGCTGCTGCAATCACATCAAAAATATCGTCACCTTCTAGTGTGGTGGTTGATGTGTAAACTACCTCTATGACTTTTTCCAATCCTTTAGCAGTGATGCCTTTGAGTTCAATCTCTTTCTGATTGCATTCCCTCATGCCACTTGTGAACATAGAAAGGAAGTAGTCTGAGCATGACACCAAGATCACTCTATGGCAGTTAAATCTAGTACCTGAATTTTGAAATATAAATCAAAATGATTGCATTATCTGAAATAATCTTGAATAATTAAAAGATAATCTTACTATAAAAAGCATTGCATATTTTTAGTTTTTTTCACAGAGTCACAAATTAATCCCCCCCCCCCCCCCCCCCATATTAGTTTAAACAGCCACGACTTAACTGGTACGATTACAGTCATTTGTGTAGAACACAGAGTTTTGTGAAGAGATTGTCTCTTTTTGGTGACAAGACCAAGATGTTTTCGCTCTGGTTTTCTTTTACTCAGAGGTTCATCCTTGCCTAGAAAAGGTCTCTTACTCGGCTGATAAGACAAATCTACTAATGCTAATTTGAACCAGCTACCCCTAGGTTCCAAGGCAGACAACATTAACATTGCATCACAGGGCTTCTAATTAAAATATTTAGATTTTAAGAAACTCTTTTAAGATAATTTACATAATTTAATTTGAGTTCATTTTCAGCTATCATCAGTAATTACTGTCATATATTTATTTGGAAACCAACCTTCTGCAATGAGAGTCACATCACACAATATACCATCTTGCTTGAGCTTGTTAAGACCTTGAAGAACCTTCATACCATGCTCAGGTCTTTCTTCCATTCGAAACACATCATTTGTAGAACCACTCGACATTTCTCCTCCCTCTGCCATGATATTGGTTACTCTGCGTTTCTTCCTCTGAACTTGAATAACAAGTCTACCAGGCATCTAACATTTCTGAAAATATAACAGTGGTAATGAAGCACTAAAATTGATAAAAACTTTAATAATTTAAAACTTATTTTTCACTATGGGGTTTTTCTCCACATTCATGACCCTTATTTTGCTTTTGTTTTTACGCCTATAACTTTAATATAATATGAGACCATAATATAATAATTACATGGAACATAGTTTATTATGAGTCCTTCTAAATGAAGCAACAAAATATACATTAATTTTTTTAAAATATTCCGCAATTAAAACAAAAATCTTAATAATTTTCCTTATTAAAAATGAATAAAATATGATGAGTCGTCACTTATGGTATTTAATCAATTAATTTTTTTCAATATATATTTTAAAAATTTCCCCAGAATAAAAATATTTTTTAGATATCAATTTCAAATTATCTGTGGAATTTTTAACATGTATAAGTTTAAACAAATAATACAGGGATTATTTTATTCATTAAGTTAATATTGACGATTGTACTTTTTATTTTACCAATATCTATAAATGTATGTCCCATATGAATTTTACAAAAAAATTAGAATGTCATTTATTTTAAGTTAGTAATCTTGTTTCACAAATCATCATGTATTGTTAGAATCAACCTTGGTGGCTGATAGAAATTCAAGTAAATTCTAGTCATTTGCTTGAGACAAGTGTAAGTATTATGATCGCTCTTTAGTAAATCTTCAATAATTCTTGGATTATTGAGGCAGAAAGTTTGTTTTTTCTTTGAGAAACTGAGGATTATATAACAATTCTCATGTGGAATATTGTGATATGTGATTAAATATAGGATAGTTCAATATCAAAGGTAAGTGAATATTTTTTAAAACTTGTACTTAATTTTTGACTTAAGAATCTTAATCAATATAATAAATATATTAATTGTAATAATAATAAGGCTAATGAGGCCTATTAAACCCAAATCAATACCCCTTAATAAAAGCATTAAATCATTGGTGTTATTAAATAATTTGTTTTTGTTTTAAATAAGTAATAAACTGGATTTCCAGCGTTAATCAAATTAATTTACTTTTTAAAAGTCTGTTATCGATAATTGTGAATTGTGGGACACATGACAAAAAATTTGCAATTTTTTACACCAACCTGTTGGTCCTAACCTCACAAATTTTGGATATGTTGTAATTTATGCAGTTATCTCAGTATGATTTTAAAATTAAGAGCAGCCATTTTACAACAAAAAAAAATGAGTTAAGTGAGCATTATTTTACTTTCAATTTTCAAAATGAAGACCACAAATTCTTTATGGAAAAAGTGTCTAATGTAAAAACACTAAAATGTGTGCAGAAGAAGAATATGCATGCTGGGATATAATTGGGTAAAAAATCATAAACAACTAGACCCTCTGTAAATTCAATAGCGGAGGTCACCATTTTGATAACAAATTCCCATTACAGCCTTCCCACGCCGCTTTGCACTTCGACTTTTGCGGCTTCGTCCTATCGCAGTTTTTTTCTTAAATACTGCATATTCATTAAAAAGTTAATAGTGAAAATGGTACAGCGCCAGCCTAGTTGTCTGTACATCTATACATGTTGGTTGCCGGACGTGAGTAACAGTGGTGATAAAACAATTGTATTGGGTTTTTATTAAAAGTGTGATGAATATGCGGAGCTAACAATACAACCCTGTAATTACTGTGGTTATGGCACCTTTAGTGTGGCTTTGTGTATGTACTGATTTAGCCGGACTGACCACTGGTCACTGAGCCCAGCCGGTAATTACCAGCTACTCCCACGATAGATCAGTCTATGCATGGATATTGCATTAACAGTCACAGTTGCACAGCTCGTGTTCCTCAAGCGACGATATAACAGTAATTAAATGTAGAATAATAATATGAAATTGTTAACGTCTAATATGTCTTACTTTATCTTTACTTTGACAACTATATATTGGGTGATGCGAGTGTAATGGTGACTAAAGGGTGTCATTTCACGTCTAGAGGCTCTAATAATGTTGAAGAATGTATTTAGGTTGTAATCATGTTTTCTATGCTCTGACTACGAAAATATTACATTTATAAATAAAGAATCCTACTTTGCGGAAATTCACCTATCGCAGTAGAGTCTGGAACTGACTAACCACGATAAACAAGGGTCGACTGTACCCGGTTTTCTGCATTTCCCGGACTATACCAAAGTGCCTACCATTTTACCTTTGTACACCCTATAACAGAATCAGCTCGAGCAACAATCAGATAATTAAACATTGATTTAAAGTGATCCAAACTGATTCATCATACTCATACAAACTAACAGGCCTATATTGTTATAGATAGTATAAGCCTACCACTACCACAAAATTTGAGCCTGTTTTACAATATAGCATTTAGTATATATAGTATATATATGACATAAATAGGGAGATAGGACAGCCCTGGCCTTATAACTAAGCTTTCTTCTTTAGTTTTAGTACTCAGTGCTTAGAAATAGGTTTTAACTGCTAAATAATAACAAGATATTGCTCAGTGTGAATAAATAAAGAATAATTATTTTTAATTTAACATGACCAGCAAAGTCTAAGAGGTAAACAATTGCAGTCAAAAATAAATACTATTTCAACAATAATAATAATAATTATAAATGCCTAAATGGGAATTTGGTCACAATTATTTTGACTTACAAAATGACTCATCTACACACTTACTATTAAATTCGAATATTATTAACCCATTTGAGAATACAAAATCATGTTATATTAAACTTACTTGCAAATGATAATTGAAAAGCCTAAACCATTCGTTTGTTTCTTATTTTAATGATATTGTAATGCAAGTTCAAGAAAAAAATGCAAGGCTAACAACGAAGGAAGTAAACACCGGAAGTACACATGCAACTTTTGATGATCATGCGCAATTAAGGTCAACTTCATCGCTAATTACCGTAAGATAAACAACTCTGAGATATAATGCAGGAGAAAATAAATATTAAAAATTAATTTAATATCAATAACTTTAATGAATAACTGCAGCTTCTTTACATTAATAAAAATTTGTTGTAAAAATTTATTATTAATATATTTCGATAAAAATAACTAAACCTTAACCTGCATTTTTCAAAAGTCGCTTGACTCAGGCAAACTCCCGCTAGGCTGGCTTGATGACTTGATGCAAATATCACTAGTGATATCGATGACCACAACCACCTCCAAGCAGATTTGAAGTGTTTTATGAAATGGGCGGACAAATGAGGCATGAAATTTAACGATACCAAACGCTACACAATGAGCATCTCAATAAAAAAAAAACCTTCAACCTATAGGCCTTATATACTCTCTAAACAAGACCATTCTCCAACAAGTATCAAATAATCCATACCTTGGAATTCTCTTCTCGAATAATCTAAAATGGACACCCCATATAATAATTTTTTTTAAAGCCAACTCCACACTTGGTTTCATTCGAAGAAATCTGTGCCACTGCCCAACATCCTGCAAACGAAATGCCTATATCGCACTCGTCCGTCCGCTACTAGAATATGGTGCGATCATCTGTGACCCATACCTAAAGCAAGACGTGGACAAGATGGAGCAAATACAACGAAAGGCAGTTCGCTTCATCGCAAGTAACTACAAATCCATCACTCCTGGCTCCGTCACTGATCTCTTAAAAAGATTTGACATCCCCTCCCTCAAAGACAGACGAGAAAAGCTCCGCCTACCATTCCTATAGTCTCAGAAGAAGGCTCCAAGCCCGAACTGATGTCCAGGATTGCGCAGACTACAACAGCACTAAAAAAGCTCAAGAAAATATGGAATGACAAAAATATAGCCCCCAGCACCAAAATCAGGCTGATGCGCTCATTAGTCCTCTCCATTTTCCTGTATGCCTGCGAATCCTGGACTTTAACAGCCGATCTTGAAAGGAAAATAAAGGCGATTGAGATGAGATGCTTCAGAAGCATTTTTGGCATCTGCTATAGGGACCATATCTCCAATGATACAGTGAAAGAAAGGGTTCGTCAGGCAATTGGGGGGTAAGATGACCTACCGGTGACTGTGAAAAAAAACGCAAATTACAATGGTACGGTCACGTAACAAGGAAACAAGGGCTTGTCAAAGAAATATTGCAGGGCACCTCAAGAGGAGGGAGAAGAAGAGGAAGACAAAGAAAAAGGTGGGAGGATAACATCAAAGAGTGGACAGAACTAACACTGGGCGATGCAGTGCGTAGTGCTGAAGACAGAGAGGAATGGAGGAGGATGGTTCACATGTCATCTGTGGCGCCCCAACGGTCCAAGGACTAAGGGGCATGAGGATGAGGAACATTCCTATATAAAGTGGTCACGGGACTACTGACGGCCATCCCAGCTAATACGTATCTCACCCCCACAGAAGCCAGGTCGCTTAATCAGAGCCAAACGCTCAATAAACACCTCTGAGAACTCCATAAACAGTTACATCCAGAACAATAGTAAATGCTTCACTGTGCCTCGGTGTAACACAGTTCAATATAAACAATCATTCTTCCCACGAACAATAATTGCTTGGAACCAACTGGACAATGCCGCCGTGGACTCGACCATCAATCGAGAGTTTCAAGGCTGCCCTGGCACCCGCTAGGAGCCGTTAGGATAGCCTTATCGTTTCCCAAACCGTTGCACATATGCCAGTACACGGATGCAGCAACGTACCCTATCAGAATCAGAATACGGACGATTAGGGCCTAGTTTTAATTTTTATTTTTACATAATATTGACATAGTCCTAGTGAACCCCGAGTCAATCAGAGTGTGGTGTATGAGTATGACAAACTAGTTTCAAGCTAAGCCTAATTTATGGTCATATAAATTTCTATTACAAGAAATATTGAGGGCTATGCTCAGCATCGTGGAGAGTATGCAATAGTGTAGTGCAGCTTGTGATGTGTTGGATGGATTTTGACTTAAAAGTATCTATCTCAAGAAACGTTAAAACCGAGGGGTAATCAGGGATTTAAAAAATATATTTTAAAAAAATGTATTTTAATCACAGCTTATCGAGAGAGAGATGATGCACGAGTGACGTCGCAGGAGTTGTCGGAATGTTTCTTCTCCGGGTTTGACTTCAGAGTTTCCTTCTCTTAGATGAGTTGCCATCTACCCTGGGTGCTGACTGGTGATGTTTTTGCTTGACTGGGCTTTGGCTGGAATTGAACTCCAGACCACCAACTTGAAATTAGCTCAGTTTGGACCACTCAGCTACCCAGCATCCAAGGAATCTATATCCCAATAACATATGTTGTCATGGAATGGGAACTATATAGAACTTTCTGGAACAGTTTAGATGTAATTTATTAAACAATTTTTTTGTGTGCAAAATTTTACAGCCCACAAACACAAACTTACACGGAAATTTGCTGCGCGGATCCTCAAAACTGCTGCGGCCGCGCAGCTTAATGGGAACATTGACAGACAGTCCTACACCTTACCCGTCAGACTTCAAACCATAGTCCTACAGACAGTCCTACACCATATTAGTGGTTCTTTGTTGATTAATATAATAGTTGCCTCCCCCTAAAGAAACAAATCAACTAGAGACCGACCGAAAGTGATTTTCTGATTTCGGCCGAAGCCGAAAATAGGCCGAAAGTTTAAAATGACTTTCGGCCGAAACCGAAAAAAGGCCGAATGTTTAAAAATTACTTTCGGCCGAAACCGAAAAAAGACCGAAAGTTAAAAATGAATTTTGGCCGAAACCGAAAATGAAATATTAAGATATTTTGAAATTCGTTCCCGCATACATTAGGCTTACATCGAAAATGATGTGGGAAAATATAAGTATTTACATTCTTTTTATAAAAATGAGATAGTCGTAAATATTAATAAATAAAAATCTAATTTAGGGTTCTCAAACTCGCGGCCAGCGAGCCATTTGTGACCTGCAAGACGATATTTTGCGGCCCGCTACATGACAGAAAAGTTTAGTGTAAATGCGCCGGCCCGTTTCCCCCATTCTCATATCCATAACGTGACTCTCAGCGATGGTTTCAGTCGAATCTCACCGACTAATCTAATTCTGATTTTTTTTTTTTAATGTCTCTATATATTTTTGTATGCCAGCTCTCTGGCAACAGTGAGTAGATGGATGAAAGTGAATCCTAGTTCTTGAGAACCCTTAATGATTTTTTTGTTATTTTTAAAGGTTGACCAGATTGTAACAGTTGTAATCGCTTTTTTGTGGATTACTTGATGCGGCCCACTCTCATACAGACACTA